GTAAGGAATATTTTTGGTTAAATATCACTTATGTTACAGTTGCGATTAGTGGCAAAATTAAGTGATTTGCCCCTCAGAGTTCCCAAAATTCACACACACCCCATCTAAATGAGTTAGCTTGAATATATTTCCGAGCTATCAAGTTTGTTTGACGTTTTATCTTAAATTTGCAGGGCTCCAGCTGGAAGATGACAGAGCAAGTCTCAGAGGTGTTTGCTGTAATAGCCTTCATCTTCAGGGGGCAGGGGTGCATTAAAGAGTTCGGGCTTTAAAATGACTGACATTAATAATGTATGACATGTTCAAACTTTTATTAGAACTCAGTCTTTAGGGTATGTAATTTTATTCAGGAAAGTTAAAATGTGCCTATTATCATCAATAAAATTGTAGCTCAGGACCTTAGAGCTTACACCTGGTGCCAAAATTTGTCACAAAAGTAGAAAGCGTCATCCACTTTCAAATCTAGCTCAGCTGCTAACCATTTAAACAGTGTTGTCTGTTCACAGAACAGAAAAAATACAATTCTACAGTGCACATTTTATCAAGTACAGGTGACACTCTGGTACAATCTGTGGCTAGTCTTTCCTTACGTCTCTAGAGAGGTGGCTTCAGTAGGATCTTGGTCACCTTCTATAGCAGGCATATTTTACCCGCCTTGGGTGGCTTTGTGCCGGGAAGGGCTGCTGCCTAGTCTGGGACAACTCAGCTGGTCCAGTTAGACCTTCTGAGAGGAAACAGCCTTGTAGCTGCTCAGGGGTGCTGTAGGGAGGAAATGTCAGGGACATAGGCACTTGCCCCTCAGTCTCCTTGGCAGTACACAACAGGGCTGGCCATACTGCCCACAGCAGGAGCTGAAAACTACTGACCAGGCTGCTATGACCTGAGCATCTGTGTTCTGTCTCAATTGATGTGTTCAAACCTCACTCCATCCCCACTTCCTTTTGGGAGGTATAGGGCCACTGGGATGCCTCAAAAATGGCAGATTGGTGTCCTTTTTAAAGAGGCTTTAGGGACACCTGCTTTCCCCTCCCCACCAGGAGGCCCCACTTTCACTGCTGTGAAACGGGGGTGGGGGGGCACCTCACCCAGTCTGTCAGCTCTGTGAGTTTAGACTTCCAGGTTCCAGAACTTAGGAGATGAGTTTGTGTGGCCTGTGGTGTTATGTAGTATCAGGTTATTGTACGTGTGGGCCTCTAAGGTTTCTTAATTGTAAATGCCACAGCTTTATTTTTCTTTTGGAAGAAGTAAACATAGGGCCCTGGAAATGGTAAGTGTTCTGCTACCCTCAGCCCAATGCCATGCACTTATGGTAATAGATTTCAGAAGGTTGGGAATTTTCTCAATGCGTATGTTAAAATCTCAATCCTGAGACCTAGAAAACAAAACGTCTTGGAAGTGTTTTGTTTGGGGATTTTTTCGGCTGGGATTTTCTATTCCCTCTTTGTTCTATTTTTTCCCCATGCCAAAGTATTTCAGTTTATGCATTATTGAACATGCTGCCGGTAAAGCCATTACTTTGCACAAACATGATAATTTCACTGACCCAACACACAGCTTGTCAGCAGTAGGAAAGTTCCTCACGGGCTCCCTCTGGATATCCTCATCCATATGATTTACGCAAAGCAAGCTGTGACAGCACACCCAGCTGCAAAGCTCACACCCTCGGGTTAGTTCTGTGAGGGATGATTCTGTGATTAGTACGAGAACTGGAAAGGTCAATGTTTGGTAGAGATGTACCGTGGACACTGTGTCTGGGTTAGTGTAAGTTGGCTGTACCAGGCACGTTTGTTCTGGGTGAGATGTACTGAGCATATCAGGAGGGACCCCACCATTGGTGCCTGCATCAGGAGTTGGTTGTTGGGACACTACTGAGAAGGATTCTGGAGATGGCACTAGGAGGCCCTACATATGGTGTCAATGGAATGAGGAGACACCCTGGTTAATAGGGGTTCTCATCTGACGTGTTTACATGGGTTTGCTGTTTATAGCTGGTAAATGTGGCTTGGGTCCTTGAGAAATAAGTGTGATAACTTATGTCTCTCATTGAAGAAGTATGTCAGATTCTAGGAGAAAAGTCCTAGTATTGTGTTAAAAAGTTAACACATACTGGAGTTCAAATTGTGTTTTTTTGTTATAAATAACAGAAATAGATGGAGTGAGGTTAATGAGAAGGGATGAAGTGGGAAGACATGCTAGGAATGTACACACAGAGAGCAAGGGAGTGGGGGAGCCAATATGTTCCCTCCCTCTTCACCCGAGTGGCCTTGTCACAGCCTCAGGGCAGTCAAGGCCAGAAGAGCGGCCTGGGAGTTGTTCCAGGCTAGCCTGAACCTGGGATTGCAGCTTCTATTGGGTCCTCACACAGGAGGTAACGCCATCTTGCTCTGGGTGCCCAGCTCCCTGCTGCTTCCAACCCCAGACCAACTGCTCTCCTTGAGGTCCTCAGCAGTGGAGAGAGGAGGGCAGATTAAAGCTTGTTGTGCCAACACTCCGGGTTCCTTGTCCCTTCTGTTTCCTATGACTCTAGCCCTACCATTGGGCAGGTCCAGGGCAGGGATAATGGGGGAGAAAAGTGGGTGGGTGGACCCCTTCTCAGCACCCTGCATGGCTTTCATATGCACAGTCTGCCCACCCAGCACCTCCCCAGCCTGTCCCAGCCTGTCTGCGCTTGCTACTCTACCCCTATTCCTCACCCATTATTCATGCTACTTCTCCTATCTTAAAATCTCGGGCTCTGCCTACTTCTAACTGGAGACTCCAGAACTGTTTCCATTTCTACCATAAAAGGAACCACTGACACCCCAGTTTGCTCTGACAGAGCTGGGCATCTGGTCTATTGTGAATTAAATACTCTACGATTGGGTGTATTAATTGATCTGTGCCACATCACTGTCTGGGAATGTCCGTCCAGTTCCCCCGTCTCTCACCATTTTGGATTGCCCACTTGCTTGGGGAAAATTGTGAGGCTTGGGATAACATCCATGGATATTGACACACCCACCACCACACAGTCTATACAGCTGCTTCTTGGATTGCTCTGTCCCAGCAGCTGCCATGAGAGTACCTGGTGTGGAGGCCCAACTCCCAGAAGGCTTTCTACACCTCTGGCCTACTGGCGTCACTAGGATTGTGGCCAAGAATCTTTGAAAAGAACTTTTGACCTCTTGTGACAAAGTACTGTTCTGATCAGAGAGATTCAAAACCCTTATTCTGTTAAGAACATCTTGATTCTGGAATACTTCTGTGTTTCATATGCATCATCTAAACCCTCCCAAATATATATGTTGAAACCCTGACCCGCCCCCACCTCAAAACTGGGATTATCTGGAGATTGGGCCTTTAAAATAGCAATTAAAACAAGAGTATTAAGAATAGTTAGGCCTGCCAGGCAGTTGTGGCATACGGCTTTAATCCTAGCACTCGGGAGGCAGAGGCAGGCAGATCTCTGTGAATTTGAGGCCAGCCTGGTCTTCAAAGAGAGTTCCAGGACAGTGTCCAAACCTACAGAGAAACCCTGTCTCAAAAAGCCAAAAAAAAAAAAAAAAAAAAAAAAGAGTTAGGCCCTAACCCAGTGCAACTTGCTTGCACAAGAAGAATGATACACACAGAAGACTCGGTGCGGCTTATACTGAATCTGGGATTGCAAACCAAGATGACTCTTAAGTAGAATGGAGATCTAAGTTTTCTGACTTGCCTTTATGTCCCCACGCACTTGAATCAGATGCAGTGGTCCAAAATGAAGCAGCAGATGCTGTCACCTTACCTGGGCCAGTGAATCCACTTTGACCAGTTTGTATCGTCTCAAATGCTCCTGGGTGGGTGCCCCCCCTGAATGATGGAGGATGATGTAGCACAGCTCTTCGTTTGGACCTGTACCCTGGGCAAAGCAACCCTGAGGGCCAGCCTGCTTCTTCTGCGAGTTAAAGATGACAGGGCTTAACTCCTGGAGGTCACTGGGGAAGAGGGGAGTGTACAAGGGGCTCCACAAAATGCTCCAAGCAGAGCTGAAGGGAGAGTGTCCCCTGAAAAATGGAGAAGTCTTGCCCCCTGCAATGCATTCCCTGCTCTTAGCCAATATACTGTCCTCCCCTAGAATTTTCTGGAGTCTACAAACATAACTGGATCAAAAGCATGTTTAGATTAGGACTTCTCAGAATCGCCCCCCTGTGTATGGAAAGGAGTATGTTTCACATCACAAGCCAGTGTTTGTTCACATGTGGCTGAAGACAGTGTGCCCAAGCTAACCACGGTGCTCTCTGAAGATTTTCTTGTTCCCTTAAACCTCCATCTGTCAGCTTTTGGCAGCCCGTTGAGTTGATCTGAGGGTCCACTTCATCACAGTCTTCAGAGACCCGCCTTGGACTTAGTATGTCAGCGGATCTTTTACTAATTCAGCCGTCAGTCTGTTGTAGAAAAACCAGTCCAGTGTTTTGTGATCAAAGATGCATTGGAAGTGGGGAAGGAAATGAGAAGGGGCAGCGTGCAGGCAGGTAATAGGAGGGAACCAATGAGGAGGGGAACCAATGAGGAGGGGCCTTGGAGCGGGGTTACGAACTTCAGGAGGGAGGTTAAGTGGATGCAGGGCAAGGTCCAAGCCCTTCTGGCGATGACCTGACCCTCTGTAGAATTGCCCCGTTCATTTAGTCCAACTTCTTAACCCCGTGCAAATTTGCAGGCACCTTCTCTTTGTCTTTTTTTTTTTTTAATTGTTTCAGTCCTGAGCTCCAGGGGTTCTCTAAGCTGGCCATCCTTCCAGAAGGATTTTTTCTCTCTTCTTTGTGTCACCTGTTGGTGGGTAGGTATCAGCTTTTAGTAGCTTCATGTCAGTGCGGCACTAGCTGTATCATTTTCTTTTCCAGCTGGTAACTGTCGTTTGTAACCAACCTTTGTGCGCCCCCTCCCCCCCGGCGGGAGGACTTCCATGCCCTAATAGTGTAGGTGTGGGCATGGTGTACAACATGTGTCCAGTGCGAACTGAGCCCTCTGCCATGTTTTCACAGGCCTAGGAAAGACGCGCAGGAAGCCGAGCGCTCGGGATGCATCCCCAACGCCCAGCACTGATGCGGAGTACCCGGCCAATGGCAGCGGTGCTGACCGCATCTATGACCTCAACATCCCCGCCTTCGTCAAGTTCGCCTATGTAGCCGAGCGAGAGGATGAGCTGTCGCTGGTGAAGGGCTCCCGTGTCACCGTCATGGAGAAATGCAGCGATGGCTGGTGGCGCGGCAGCTTCAACGGGCAGATCGGCTGGTTCCCCTCCAACTACGTGCTGGAGGAGGCAGATGAGGCTGCAGCCGAGGCCCCCAGCTTTCTGAGCCTTCGTCGGGGCGCCGCGCTGAGCAATGGGCAAGGCGCACGGGTGCTGCACGTGGTGCAGACGCTGTACCCCTTCAGCTCCGTCACTGAGGAGGAGCTTAGCTTTGAGAAGGGGGAGACCATGGAGGTGATTGAGAAGCCCGAGAACGACCCAGAGTGGTGGAAATGCAAAAATGCCCGGGGCCAGGTGGGCCTGGTCCCCAAGAACTACGTGATGGTCCTCAGTGATGGGCCTGCACTGCACCCCACGCACACCCCGCAGATCAGCTACACCGGTCCCTCAGCCAGCGGGCGATTCGCTGGTCGTGAGTGGTACTATGGCAACGTGACGCGGCACCAGGCCGAGTGCGCGCTCAATGAGCGGGGCGTCGAGGGCGACTTTCTCATTAGGGACAGCGAGTCCTCGGTAAGTGCCCGGCCGCCCCTCTGCTGGGGCCACACTGCCAGGAGAAACCTAAGTGTACAGTTCCCTCACCTGCACGTTCAGGGACTCGTGCAAGCCCTGGTCTGAGGATGGTCAATGATCTTACAGCTTTCAGTACAGTCCATTTGCCTGATTCGACATTGTTAAATATCTTACCAAGTCTTACTTACAAGTTAGACTTGATAATGGATGTAACAAAAGAAACTTATTTTTAGGGTTCTCATCTACCACAGTTTCAGGTGTCCACTGGAGTTCTTGGAACCCTCCCAACCACCTATGTGGGTGACATGACTGGTGTGCCGTTCTCTTGTCATAGTCACTGACTATATGTGCAGTGACACATTGGTGTTTGAGGGGGCATATAAGCTAGGTAAATACTGTGTTCACTGGGTAGACTGAGGTCCCTGCTGCCATTCCTTCTCACGGGTGGTTTTGTCCCTGTAGTAGGGCTCCGCCTTTCAAGTTTAAAGATGCAGGCTTCCTTTTCCTTCCCTGGGAAGGCCCCTGTGATTACTGTCAGTACCGTCTGCATCTGAGCACGCAGTGCTGGATCTCAGTTAGCAGGTGCCCGGCTTCTCATGCAGCCTTTTGGTGCTGGTTTGCTTTTCTTTGTCAATCACGTAATCCCAGGGTTGTCTTTGCTGCAGGCAGCCCCACTGAAAAGCTCATCTCTGGAAAACTCTTAAAGTATTTACAAACAGGATTGGACAGAAACCCGGAGTGCTCGGGGGAGAGGAGGAAATGGGGAATAAGGCCACCTGTCTGGCACAGTCAATCCTCCAGCAGGCAGCTGGTTGTGGGGGCTTATGGCTCACTGGGACGATCTGACAGAAGCAGACAGCTTTACCACAGGCAGCCTTCCTGCGTGTGCCTCCTGGGAATAACCCACTTTGGAGATAGCTTCTTCCCAGTGACTCTTCTAAACCTGCAAGCAGGAGTCTTGTCGGGTGTGTTCAAATGTTAACTGACTCACCTAGGCTTTTCGTTTCATGTTTTAAGTGCACAGTGTAAGAGCAGAATGCGTGTGTTCTGCTCCGCTAGCACAGTGAGCAGTGTGCACTCCTGCCCCACAGGACTGATCTGAGAGGTGAGGTCGCAGCCCCTTCTGGAGAGGGGCTGTTGAAGCCTGCTCTTTGTAGCAGAAGGAGCATGGAGCTAGCGGGAACCGAATCCCTTTATGGTGTCAGCAGCTTTTCAGGGCCGGCTTCAGCCTTAGATGTTCTCAGGCAGGACCCAGAATGCTGACTATGACTGAAATCTGAATACTGAGATGCCCTGATTGAGCCCAGGGTTCATCGTTGCTGGCAGGACTTCACCTGACATTCTCCTCACACATCGGAGGCTCCATGCCTTTAGATCACATTCTGGGCCTGTGAGGAATTAAGGACAGTGGTGTCTCTCATACTGCAGAGCAGGAACAGGGAAGGCTCTGAAAACCCAATCTGAGTGCAGAATGCTCTGTCCAAGTGCTTGTGAGCCAGACGTTTGAATTCGAAATGGTTTCTTGGAGGAAGGGGGCAAGAACCACATAGTAACAGATGAGTAAAAGGTCCCCTGGGGTTTCTGGTCCAAAAAAGACCTGTTAATCTTCTGTGTCCACTTAAGCAACCTTCTTCCTGATGATGGAGGCATTGATTATTTACAAGTTGTTTTAACCCCTTTTGTGGACATCCCTTACTTTGACTAACTTAAGCTGAGCTTTTGTTGCCAGGGCTGTGTCGGGGCAAAGGCCTTATCAGAATGTGTATCATCTCCAGAGATTGGCTGAGTGGCCTACAGCTGTGTGGCTTCCATCCCGAAGATCTTGGGGCCCCTTAAGCCGTGTATGTGTCTGTGCCAAGGACCTGTTACAAGGGGCTCCAGGCTGTGCTGTGTTTTATCCGCTAATGAAAGAACAGGCATGTACAGATTTACTGTCTTGTCTGTTGGCAGTTCCATTCTGTGTCAGTGAACTTGACTCCTGAGTGGGAACAGTAGCTTTGGGGAACTCGTCTTCCTGACCGGTGTCAGTTAAAATCTATCTCATTGCAAGGTAAACAGAGCTCCAGTTGGTATTCTGTCCTGATAAATGCCTACTGGTTTTCTCCTTTGACAAATTAAAAATCTACTCATGTCTAGGTACACAGAAGTCCGCTTTTGAGGAGAGAGGGTTTATTGCAAGTGGACATTGCTTCATCTGTGCCTTCCATGGCAGACGAGTGCTAGACATTTCAGAGCTCTGTTGGAAGTGTGCTGGACTTGAGGACTGAACAACCAAGCAAACTGTTTGACTGTCCCATCCCCAGCTTTGGTACCCACCACTCATTCTCTTCTTAGCCTCTTTTCCTCCCTTGTTCTCTTTTCTTACCTATACCGATCAGTTCTTCTTGAAAGCTAAGGGAAGCACAGTGCTGTTCTTTGTCAGTCTGCCTCATGCAGAAAATCCACAGAAGCCCTGCCTGCCCTGTATGGGCATCAAATCCTTATGTGTTTGCCTGCTTTGGTTCTATGGAGATTTTACAGGGCTGTATGTAAAATCCACAGAAGCCCTGCCTGCCCTGTACGGGCATCAAATCCTTATGTGTTTGCCTGCATTGGTTCTATGGAGATTTTACAGGGCTGTATGTAAAATTAATTCAATTCTGGCAAGCAGTACAGGGTGTTATTGGTTTTGTTTCGTTTCGGTTGTTGTTTTTCTTTCTCGGATGCTAGATCCCTTGTGCTTCTAATACTCAGAAGGTGTTGGGTGCAAAGTAAGGAGACATTCTGAAAGATAGAGCCACTGCTGGGTTAATACAGGACAGTATCAGGGTAGTGTAGGGAGCATTCCCTCTGTAGACTTTTGAACCCAGAGAACTAATAATTCCCATGCGATGCATTATGTGCTATGATAATAATTACGGACTAATGTTTGTCATGCTTCATTTTGGTTTCAGGTAGAGAACCCTAACCCTAACCCTTGATTTAAAAAAAAAGATTTAATATATTAAGTCATTTTATGCTTATGGATGTTTTACCTGTGTGTGTCTGTGCACCACATATGTAGGGTGCCTTTGGAGGCCAGAAGAGGGCGTTGGAGCCCCTGGAACTAGAGTTACAGAGGGTTGTGCGCCACCAATGGGGTGCTGGGAATGGAACCTGGATCCTCAGAGATCAACAGTGCTCTTAATCTCCAAGTCATCTCTCCAGCCCAAGATCATTTTATTCTTCTAGAAAGGTTTCTAGCCACAGTTTAAGAAAAATGAGTTGCAACATTTTAAGAATGTATTTCTTATAGAAATATTTCTAACAACAATTTCATTGACCCATCTGTCTAACTGGGGATTCTTACAATGCAGTTCAGATCTTGATGCCCTCAGGAGCTGTGAATGTCTAGATTACTGCCCTCCCACCCCCTCAGCATTCCTGACCTGGGACATATGGTGCCCAAGAACTTTCAATTTGACACAGTCCTTGGTGTCATCAATGCTGCCGGTCCACTGATACTTGTTACATTAATTTTGGTTGGCCCATGCCGGAGACAGAAGCAGGGTTTCTCCTGTGCATGCTAGCTAAGAGTTCTGACACTGAGCTACACTCTGAGCCCCTATCGTGAGTTGTAGATGTTTTCATATATTTTACAGCAGTTATTAAAACATCATTTCTGGATGATACACTATCCTTAGAATGGTAGAAATGTGTGAAGGTAGAAATTAAAACTTTGTCTGAAAGCTTAATTTTCATAGCGTCCTTAGCTCTTGTTAAGTGGGATTCATGCCTTGAAATGTTCTGTGAACTGTTTTTTTACAACTCCTCTCAGCTTTGAAAATAAAGTGGCTATGTTTGCCTTGTGTTGGGGTTGGAGAATTCAGAAGATCTCATTGTCAAAGTGTAGGCTCTTTCTGGGTCATTTTGGAAGACAAGGGCAGACAAGTGAGTTCCTCTAGGATTTTCACTGCTCAACTTCTAGCTTCCCTCCTGACTGACTAGGCATTAGGGAAAAGCAGGCTGTTCTGAGCAACACCTATATTCATCTCTCCCTGTCTTAGAGTTTCTAGTGCTGTGATAAACACCATGACCAAAAGAAACTAGGGGAGGAAACGGTTTATTTATCTTATACTTCCACATCACGGTGTGTTATTAAAGGTTGTCAAATCCGAAACCTGAAGGCTAAACTGAAGAGGAGGCCATGGAGGGGTGCTACTTACTGGCTTTCTCTCCATGGCTTGCTCAGCCTGCTTTCTTCTTCTTTTTTTTTTTTTTTTAAACGAGACAGGGTTTCTCTGTATTGTTTTGGAGGCTGTCAGTCCAGCCCAGCCTCGAACTCACAGAGATCCGCCTGCCTCTGCCTCCCGAGTGCTGGGATTAAAGGCGTGCACCACCACCGCCCGTCTCAGCCTGCTTTCTTATATCTAGCATCCAGACCACCAGCCCGGGAGTGGCATTGCTGTCAGTGAGCTATGTGCTTCCAGTATCAGTAAAGAAAATGTACCACAGGCATCCCACACACGGGCCAAATCTGGTGGGGACATTTTTCATTTGGGGTTCCCTCTTCCAAAAATGACCCTACATTGTGTCAAACTGACCTAAAATTAGTCAGCACACTCCTGTTGGGAGGGTTCATTTTGGCTGGCTGGCTTGGGTCATGCCCGTGGCCTCTGAAGTACCATTGCTGCTACTGCCGCAGGGTCCAGATGCTGCCTCTTCAGATCTGACAGCTTGGTGAGGGGAAAAGAGGTCCTCCACTGTCAGCTAATGCAGCTTTTCAGACTAAGAAAGGTTATTAAAATTAGCACTTCAGCCTTAAGACTGTTCAGAAATGTTCTCATTAAAATCCCTTCGATCAGTAGTTCCTTTTCATATGAAGATTTACGGAGAGTTCATACAAAATTGCTCATATATGGTAGAAATGGTTGTCACCCCAAATATGGAAAAGTAAACTGGAAAAAGGAAACTTAAAAACCCAGGTCAAATGCACCTTTTTCATTTGAGTCACTCAAATGCCTGAGTGAGCTGTGCAAATA